ACTTCCCTGTCATCACTGTGAGCACCAATAGACCTCGTGTGTCTTCCCTCAACTCCGTTCCCTATTCCTTTCTGGATGTGCTGCCTCGCATAGGGTCTTAAAATACTCTTTCCACGGGAGCCTCACCCGGCAACTGTTACAGTTAAGGATTGTTTCTGTGGAGTAGCTGGCTGTCTTTCCCCAGGTCTGTGCAAAACCAGGTAGAGACTCCCCTACCTCTAACAACAGCGCGTCCAATTTTGTAATGGCCAACATGGTTAGATTGGGTACCTTTGCTTTAATCAGGCCACATAGTCAAATAAACAAAAGGGAAAAAAAACATTAAAATACCTCTTCAAAACTCATTAGCTCAGCTCTATCCCTCCACTCACCCACTCTTCCATTTTGTCTCTCTCAGCCCTGGCTGGCTCTGAGCTGGCACAAACACTCTCAGCACCTGACCTTCACTTGCCTGTTGTAATCCACGGATCACTGCAGACACACTACACTACATACTGTATATTGACTGAGGTCTGGCATCTGTTAATGTGCTGGATCCATAGAATTACATGGAGTGGTGCAGCATGCTGCAGAACGCATGGCATCAAATTGATAAAATAATCTGTCTATCCATCTTCACAAATCCGCTTATTTCTGGCTAGGGTCATAACACAAAAACTATTAATGATTATTATTTTTTATTAGATTTAGATTCAGATTTTTAAATGCTACAGTCTTTAAAGCTAAAGCAATTAGATCTCTCTCAGGAAAGCTTTTTTTGGATATGTTGTGTCTGCCAGTATTATTGCAATGTGAGTGTTTTCCCCATTCCCCAGTCCTGACAGGAGTGTGCCAAGGTAAATGCACATTGCTCATTCACAGTCTTCTCATGGCTTTAGATCATTGATCTGGTAAAGTCAAGCTTTATCAGTACAATTAGCATTTCATTGGATTAGCGTGTACTGCACTACGCACTGTTTTAACTATAGTTTCCTTTGTACAGGAAGTGCTTTGTGGAGACACTGTAACTTTAAGGCCACCTAGCTGCAGTGGTGCTGAGTGACAGATCTGATCAAATCCAACTCCCCCCCTCCCCCCGGGGGATCCTCATTCGATTTTGCTTCTAATGAATTGATTTATTTCATGTGTTAAAGCTGGGATGATACTTTTCCAGGCAACGGAAGCTCTTAATGCAATTCAAAGGGTGTCGAGCTGCACCTATCCAACAGCTGGAAAACTTAAAGGGCCGCGACTCCCTGTCTCAGCCGGGGAAGACTCACCCAAAATGATGACTCCCATTAATAATGGCTGGGTGGGTCTGGCCACAAATGGCATCCAGCTGGTGTCCCAGCTCCCAAGAGTTAAAACAGCTTAAAATTAAATTTGAATGCAAACAAGCTGCCAGTGCTGAATACATAGTAGTTTATATTCCTGAAAGGATGCGCACATTGCCTATTTAACATTCTCAGAATAATTACCACAGGATATGCAATGGTTCAAGCAGTGGGGACATGCCTTGGAAACAAGTCAAGTCAATTAGACAATGTGGTAGGACAAAAACACATAAGAAAAGTTATAAACGAGTAGATAGCATTCGGCCTATCTAGACCTTTGGCTAGTTAACTGATCCAAGTATTTCATCAAACAGCTTTCTATCAAGAAAAAAACACCCCAAAAGTAAATCCACAGGGTAGAAAGGAGGAAGTGCTTCTTCAATCTACCCTTTTGTTTGTCTCAATTGTCCAATTGTCCGAACATTTCTGTGCATATACAGTACCTGCAGGTTCTGTGTATCTGTACATTGTGGCAGCAGTGTCGAATAGCAGTGTGAGCCTCTGGATTACTAATGGGAAGGTTGTAGGCTCAAATCCCATGTGGGAAGCAGCTGTTGTACCCTTGACCAAGTAGAAACCCCTGTTGTAGAAACTCATGAACTAAGTTAAAGCGTATTTGATTTGTTAATGTGTTAATTGCAATCGCTCGTTAAATGAAGGATAATAAAGTAAGGATAGGCTCTAGCTTGGACAATCACAGGTGGCCTTGTTGAAGCGCAGCAATAAAGTTAGACCTGGCATCGTCTCCCCACACTTTTATCTTACTTGCGCTGTGCATTTCCTTGGTTTTTACCATGGTTTTACCATGATGTGATGGGAAGCACAGGACAAGGGTGGTGATTTCTTAAAAGGCATGATGGCATGGCTGCCCACAGCACACAGCATGGTGGTGGCAGCGAGAATCAAGCAGGGAAGGCTCCAGCTGAACAGCTGTGATGAGTTCGGCTAACAGGCGGATCCCATCAGGAAACAGATGTTCTGCCTTGACCCCACGAGCAGGGCTGTCCCTCGCCAGCCCTTAGGAACTGTGAAGGCCAATGAGAAAGGGGGCTTGCTTGCCCAGGCTCACGAAGCTCCAAGAGGCAAAGTTTTCAAGGGACTCAAATAGGAGGCATTTGGGGGATCTACTATGACATGCAAGAAAGGAGAAAGATTTTTAAAAATCTGCAGTCAAAATATATGGTACATGTGAATCAGAGAAGTTCTTACTATGTAGGTGCAGTGGTAAAAAAGGCTGATGAAAAGTGACCTTGCACAAATGTGGCTGTTCGTGTAAGTGCCTCTGCTGAGTAAGGACATGTGTACACCCTTCACGTAGAACTGTTGCAGCAACATTATGTAACTACTATCACAGCCAGAGGAGAACTCTGTTTTAGGGACATTACCTTAATATTGTGGACTCTCCAGTTTCCACCCATAGTACAAAGAAATGCTGCCTAGGTTAATTGGTGTCTCTAAAGTGTCTGTTGTGTGAATGTGTATGCCCTGTGATGTACTGACATCCTGGGTGAATCCAGCCTTACGCGCATTTTCTATTTAGTTAGAGCCCGGCTCAGTGTGACCCTATATTGGACTAAGCAGTTATTGAAAATGGATGGATGCACACATACAGTACAGATCCAGACAGAACGGATCATTGCCGACGTCAACAATGTCCTCTACACTCTATTTGTGCATAACTTTTCTCTGTGCAGACAAGGCTTGAAAGGTTTTGCAAAAGCTGAGAATGAACAGAGATAATGAAGAGCATCAGTTGGGAAAACTGAATGGTAAAGGGTTCAGGAGCCCTGCACCTGCTACTTGTATTTGTATAACAGTAACAATAGAAGAAGAGAATCACGAGCAAGCTGCAAGCCAGGAGATATTCTGTGCTCAAAAAGAATGTTATCACCATTTTACATATAACCCTGTGCATTCTCCTTAGAGTTAGAGTACTAGCCACAACCAAAGAAAAAAAAGACAAAACAAGAAAAATGTTTACTTCTAAAAGTAAATGATAAGCACCCAAACATAATCCCACTATGAAGAAAATTGCAGTGGATTTTGGGACAACGTGGCTTTCAGAGCCTGTAAGAGCAGAACATTTTATCTCATTTTAAACGAGAGACCAGGGGAAATGAACACTCCACTGACTCTGAGAGATACTGTTGGCTGTGCTCCCAGGTCCTTTCCTTGTAATAACATGCTATTAGCTCCTAGTTTCTCTTGTGGTACAATATACTGAAGAGGAAGATGAAGAAGAGGTCACAAAAGGGATGATAAGCACATCAAGTCTGGAAGGCAGACTGGCAAAACATCTTCCCTCTTCTTCTGTGGTAAAATAACAAGGAAGAAAGAAACAAGCTCGATGTGTTCACAGACACATTGTTTCTCCTGAAAAGCTGGCCTGTGCTGTAATCTCAGCTAGACTGCAAACAGAGGTTTGGGTTTTTTAATTGGATGTCTTTTGCAGTTTGCGGCTGAACTATCTGTCCACACTATCTTGAACATGACAGAAAGGCTTGACTAACTCTCTCTCACTACAATCCAGAGATTCAGGGGAGAGCTGACAGTCTGGAGAAAACAGTAGCACTGTGGAAAGGGTTATTGCATTTTCACAAAGTTATCAGGACAATATGTTTGTTAAACTTTTCCCGTTGACTGTTGAAGTGCTCAGTATTCAACAGAATTTAATGCTAAACACAACTTAAGCAGTCATATCTGATGAGAAGTGAAGAAGAAATGAATTTCTTTAAAAGACAGCAGTGGCATAAAGATGTACAGAATATATAATCAGATCTATATTTCTTACACAGATGCTTTCGCATTCACATCTATAAGAAATGGTGGTGTTTC